TAATGAAATGTCTAGAGTCCAGGCCTCTGGACTACTAGCTGCTGTAAGCTAAAAGTGTATGAATATTTGCAGTACCATCTGTATGTGTGTAAATAGATGTGGTGCATAATTTAGTCATGATACAAGTTTATTTCTTGAACATCAATAGTGTTTTAAAAGTATTCTGAGTAATAGAAAATGAAATAAAATTTCAGACTAAGGAAAAGTCCTTAACTTTAGCAATCAATTTACTGTCAATCCTAATTAATACAAACTTTGTAATAGAGATTAACAAAGGAGGTCAAGTTGAAGGCAAATTGTTTTAAATGCTTTTGGCAATATACAATACATTCCATAATAGAGTACAGTAAACTGGCTATGAAATTTTTATAGTTCTGCCCAATAAATTTTCTTCCAATCAGTACCATTAAATGTCAGTACTGAATATGCTCCAATAGGTGTCAGAACTCTTTGGTTGCAAGTATCAGAGCCAACATGAACTGGATTGGGGTGGAGGCACGATGGATTTTCTGGAACAACACTGCCATAGTTTAAGGGCACGGACAGAAGAACAGCATTTCTGAGGACTTCTGAGCCAGAACCAGAAACGAAATCAAAGTCAATATCTTTCTCAGAGTCCCTTCTCCCAATCCAGTTTCTTTCTGGCCTGTCTTCAGTCTGTACAGCTTCAAACTAGTTTGTTTTAGGTTACCAGGAGAAGAGCTACTGTCTGCACTGAGTGGGTATCCTTCATCTGATGGAGCGTTCATGTAGAATAACATCGGGGGCGAAAATTTGGGGTCATATGAATGGTCAAACACTGAACAGTAGGACAACCTCCTAGAGGGTGGAGGGCTGGCAGCTCCCATCATGGGAGGAAGTCTCCTTCAAAAAAAGATAAGGCATTACCAGTTAAAGGGGAGAGTGGGGAACCAGGCTGACACAAAGAATAGTCACTGCAGGACTGTGCTTCTCTAAACCTCAGACTAAAAGGTCAGTTTTTGTGACATATATTACCCACCCAAATACTAAAATTATAATGCTAATTACTTCTAGTGCCATCACTGTATATTAAAAACACACATTCAAGTACCTTATTTTCTGGTTTGTTGATTCACCTTTAAAACCCTACCCTGCAATAATTCTTCAGTTTATTCATGATTCAGTTCAGTTCAGTTGCTCAGTCATGTCCGACTCTTTGTGACCACATGGACTGCAGCATGCCAGGCCTCCCTGTCCATCACCAACTCCCGGAGCTTGCTCAAACTCATGTCCATCAAGTCAGTGATGCCATCCAACCATCTCATCCTCTGTTGTCCCCTTCCCCTCCTGCCTTCACTCTTTCCCAGCATTGGGGTCTTTTTCAATGAATCAGTTCTTCACATGGCCAAAGTATTAGCCAGGTGGCCAAAGTATTGGAGCTTCAGCATTAATCCTTCCAATGAATATTCAGGACTGATTTCATTTAGGATTGGCTAATTTAGTCCAAGGGACTCTCAAGAGTCTTCTCCAGCGCCACAGTTTAAAAGAAAGAAAGCAAAGAAAGAAAAGAAAGAAGAAGCATCAGTTCTTTGGTGCTCAGCTTTCTTCATGGTCCAACTCTCACAACCATACATGACTACTGGAAAAACCATAGCTTTAACCAGATGGACCTTTGTTGGCAAAGTAATGTCTCTGCTTTTTAATATGCTGTCTAGTTTTGTCATAGCTTTTCTTTCAAGGAGCAAGCATCTTTTAATTTCATGGCTGCAGTCACCATCTGCAGTGATTTTGGAGCCCAAGAAAAGAAAGCCTGTCGCTGTTTCCACTGTTTCCCCATCTATTTGCCATGAAGTGATAGGACCAGAGGCCATGATCTTAGTTTTTTGAATGTTTAGGATTATTCATGATTAGGATAGAAAAATACAATTTTGCTTGATCAGAATATTTTTACTTATTATGTGCATTATAAGGTCTAAAAAATTTACATCTAAAAATATTTTATTCAAAACTGAAGAGGTAAAAGCACTTGATTGTCAAGTTTAATCTGCATAGTGAAAGAATCAGGTCTCATTTAGAAGGCATTATTATTTAAGTTATGGAGAAAGTTCTTTGGTTTCTGTTACATGGTATTTCAGTATGGGGCTAGGTCCTACTTATTAGTAAGACAGAAAAGAATGTTAAAAACAAGCCTGGTCCAAGTCATAAGGTTTACTTTTGTTTTTCAGTGTGTTCCAGGCATCAGCCTGACTACAAACGTCAACATTTACCTCAACAATCAAGTAATGTGTTTTGCTCTGGACTCTCAAAATCTGAGGCCAGAGACCAGAGTGTTCCCTCCTGGCTTCAGTTCTTCCATGATCAGAAAAGACTCTCTTGCCTCTGTGTTTGCTTCTTGTGTGTGTGTGTGTGTGTTTTAATTCTGTCTTCTTGAACAAAATAGGGACAAGCCACATTTAAAAATCATCTCCAGCCATTGTCCAGGGTCCTTCCACTCTGTCACTGTCCAGTTGGTCTGGAGAGGTGGAGAAACTCGGCAGGACTTTAGCAGCTGAATGGCAGCTTGGGAGAAGGCCCATTGCATAAAGCTGGAGGAGGCACTAGCAATACTAAAGCAAAGGATTGATTTGCTTGTGGGATAAAGTGGGAAATGGAAAGAATTGCCTTTTGTATCAATCCAACTTTTCCTCTCCTTCTGGCTCTCCTTCTGAATAAAACATCATTATATAACAAAGGGCCTTTAAACAATTTCTTTTTTCTCTTAATTGGCAAGTTGACAAATACAGATTGCGTCATCCTGGGTTACAGCCACTTCTTAGGGTGTGGAGTTACTTGATTCCGGCACTGTGGATCAGTGCTCAAAACATGTTACACAATCTAGGTTTGTGCCTCATTAATATTGTCTTAGATTTAGAAGAAAAGAATAAAAGGCATGTTTCCCTTTGGGGACTTGAAGAAAGGGAGCCACACAATTCTAGTTGACCATTTTATTCTGAAACTGTAACTTTTTATATAAAAATATGCAAATAAGCCAATAAATCTTATTACTCTTATTATCTTATCAGTATCTTTTCACTATTCTTAAGATGAAAACAATTACAGTTTATACTTTTTCAGTTAGAATATGGCAGCAATTCTGGCACAAGGGCTGTTGCTGGCGCTCAGCTTACCCTGCTGAGAAACAACCCTAGGTACCTGATCTGTATTGAAATTATGCTCAGATGCTTCCATGGTCATTTTAGTGTCATACGAGCAACTTTCAAGCATTTTAGGTGGAAAAAAGATGGGCATGAACAGAAACATGGGTAAAGACATTCAATGATGTTTCTTCAGGCAACCAAATCGGTAGTGCCAACCCCAAGGAAGGACAGGGAAGCCTGGCTTGCTCTATCCCATGGAGTTGCAAAAAGGCAGACAAGACTTAGCTATTGAACAACAGCAACAACCCTGCTTCAGAGTCCCGGAGACAAGGCTAAAGGCATTATAAGCTTGTGCTCAGTCTCATGGGGAGACAGGAACCCAACCAAACACTCAATGCAATGCAACACATGCTAAAGTTATCATTAAATTCTACACAAATGTTACACAGATCCAGAAAAGAGCCGCTGCCAAGGTGTCTAGTGAACACTTCAGGAGGCTTTGACTCCTCAACTAAGTCTAGAAGGAAGAGTGGGCAGTGTCTAGGCTGGAAACAGAAGAAAAAGTAGAAGAAACAACAAATTTAGTGGCTCATGCTCAGTTCTGTCTGATTTTTTGCAACCCTAAAAGGTTGCAAAAGCTGACTGTAACTCACCAGCTCCTCTGTCCATGAGATTTTCCAGGCAAGAATACTGCAGTGGGTTGCCATTTCCTTCTCCAGAGGATCTTCCAGACCCAGGGATCAGACCTGTGTCTCCTACATTGCAGGTGTGTTCTTTACCACTGAGCCACTGAAGAAGCCCCATATATAGTGGCTAAGAGGCATTAAAGAACATGCTACTTGAAGAATTTTGAGTATCCCTACTGTGGCTACATGAGCAGAGAGAGGGTCAATTAAGGGAAGGTGGAAATGAGAAACTATTGTGGGCCAAGGGTGGAAAATTCAACAACTACACAGGCCAGGCAGGTAATAAAGATGATAGAAGCTGAGTAGGTCTAGGTGCAAATATATTCACTGTGACTGAATAGCTCACTGCAGAATGAAAAACCTCTAAAAATATGGCACCAAATTATACTTACCTCCCCAAATGTGACAGATTGCATCTTTTTCCATACCTTTGCCAAGAATGGGTATTTACAGCAATACTTTTCATTCATTCAACAAATATTTATTGAGTGCCTCCTATTATGAGGGATGGTATTTAGAAACTGAGGATACAGCAGTGAATAAAGCAAAATTCTTATCCTCATTGAACTGATACTCTAGTTGAAGGGCAGAGAGACAAAATAAAGTTAAGTGTGTAGTTGTTAGATGAATGCTATGCAGAACAATAAAGGAAGGATGGCAAATAGAGGATGGGAGATATGTTGAATTTTAGATACATAACCAGGAAGGTGTGTCACCAAAGAGGTAGCCATGAAAGAAAGACTGGAAAAGTTGAAAGAGAGCATTGCAGAAATCTGTGGGAAACGCATTTCAAGCAGCAGAAACAACAAACAAAGCACCTGCCAGGGCACCGGGGCAGAGAGGGAAGGGAATAATGTGAGAGGGAATGATATTGTGCTGGGTCTTTTAGGGAATTGATTGCAGCTCTTCCTCTGAGCAAACTGAAGAAGCTTCAGTTCTGAGCAGAGGAATGATAGGCGGGGGTTGTCCTTTTAAAGACTCATTCTGGCTGCTGAGTATGGAGTGCCTTGAAGGGAAGGGCCCAGAGAACAGCTGAGAGATGAGAACCACCGGGTTGGTCAAAAAGTTCCTTTGGGGAGGAAAGGGGAGGAAAGGGGAGGAAAGGGGAGGAAAGGAAAGGAAAGATATAATGTATCAAGCTAGAAGGTATTCCTTTGCTGGGGAGTTTTTTTTGTTGTATGTTGTTAAAAAGTTGATTTTCTGGCTTCCCTGGTAGCCCAGTGGTTAAGCATCTACCTGCTAATGCCGGGGACATGGGTTCCATCCCTGATCTGGGAAGATCCCGCATGCTGTGGGGCAATCAAGCCTGTGTGCCACAACTACTGAAGCCTGCACCTAGAGTCCACGCTCTGCAACGAGAGTCATCGCAATGAGAAGCCTGCACACAGCAACCAAAAGTAGCCCCTGCTCACTGAAACTACAGAAATCCCGCAGCAACAGAGATCCAGCACAGCCAAAAAATAAATACAAATAAATAAATCTTAAAAAAGAAAAAAAAAAAGAGTTCCTTTGGATCTTTTGGTAATATCTGATGGAAAAACCCAAGCGAACTTTTTTGGCCGACCCGATATTCGGGACTGATATGACAGTGGCTTGTCACAGTATGGGGAAAGCAGGTGGTAAGCAGTGGTTAGGTTCTGGTTATAAGATAAAAGCAGGGCACCAGGATTCCACAACAGATTAGATGTAGGGGTTTACCAAGAAAAGAATCCAGCAATAACTCATGGGTTTGGGGCCTGAGCAATTAGAACAGTAATATTCTATATTTACTATGTGGAAATCATAGGGAGGAGCAGTTTGGCTTGAGGGGAATGGAAAGGGAGGTGTGCTTAATAATTTGGTTTTGAAAATGTTAACTTTGAGATACATATCAGATAATAAGCATAAATTTAGAATAAAGCAGCTGGAAATATGAGTTAAGAGGTCTGGACTAGAAACGTATATATGGAATATATACGTTTGGAATATGTTGGTATATCAGTGTAAAGGTAATGTCACAACTATGAGACTTGGTGAGATTAATGAGAACAAGTGTAGAGAAGAGATCTAAAGCCTCTGCTGTCCATTCTGAAGCATCCAACATTTAGAGACTGGGAAGATGAGCCAGAATCAACAAAGGAAACTTAACCACCATGAGGCTGTAAAAAATATATATATATTTATATATATATATATATATATATATATATATATATATAAAATCAGGAGCATGTATTATTATGGAAAACAAATAAAGAAATATTTTTAAAAGAGAAGAATGACCAATTCAGTCTAATAATACTAATAGGGTGAGTGTATTAGTCGGGGTTTTCAGAGAAAGAGAACCAATAGGTAGGACAGATGTATGTATTATGTTTGTTTTTTAAAAATTGGCTTATACAATTACAGAATTTGACAAGTCCAAAATTTGCAGAGGGAACTGGTTATTTAGAGACCCAAGCAGCATTGATGCTGCAGTTCAAGTGCCAGGGCCTTCTGCTATGGAATCCCTCTTGTTGGAGGAAATGTCAGTCTTTTGTTCTGTTCAGGAGTTCAGCTGAATGGATGAAGCCCACCCACATTATGGAGGGCAATCTACTTTACTCAAAGTTCACCAATTTAAATGTAAATCTTTTCCCAAAACACTTTCACCAAAACATCTAAATAAATTTCTGACCAAATATCTGGGTACTATGACCCAGCCAAGGCGACACATAAAATTGTCACAGCAACAAAGATAAGGCTGAGAAATGGCAGGTGTAACAGTTGTAATTGGCAACCCAAGGAAGAGTGGGTTTGATAGAATGATGGGAGATAGCTTGATTGGAAAGAAAACAGGAGGAGGAATGTCGCGTACTTCTGGGTTCATTGGACGTGGGGGAAAGAAAACAGAGCAGTGTTAGGCAACCAAGACAGACTGACCTGGTGCTGGTTGGCAGCATCCGGAGAGGCAACCTAGGGACCAGACAGGGAACTGGAGATCAGCTCTCTCCTGAAGCTGGAGACCTGAAAAGAAGTTCCAGTGGTCCCAGGTCAGCGGTACATGTGGTTTCACACAGAAGAGGATTTTTGGAGAAACACATCTTTTGTTTAAAACTTTGAGAATCCCACAAATTAATATCAACTAAATCAATCAGTATAAAAAATATATAAGCAAACAAATGAATGAGAGAATCAGAAGCAGCAAACATCAGATCTAGTCTCCCAAAAGTTCCAAATATTTCGTGTTACCAAACAAACAAAAAACTTACTATAAAATGTTGAAAAATTTAAAAATGATAAATAAGATGAGTAAGTAATAAGAGGCTTCAGAGCTAAAACCAGAAACATTTTGGGGGAAAAAAACAGGCAAAACTTTATGAAATAGAAATAGAACTCTACCCAATACTCTGTAATAACCTATATGGGGAAAGAATCTAAGGAAAAGAGTGGGTACATGTATACATACGACTGATTCACTTTGTCTACAGCAGAAACTAACACAACATAATAATTCAGCTATTTTCCAATAAAAATTAAAAAAAATACAACCGTTAAAAAAGTCTCAATTGATTAGTTAAAACACATATTATGCACAGTGGAATAAAAATATTGGTAAATTTAAAGGCCAGATCTGAAGAAAGTTTATGGAAGATAAGCAGATGGAAAATATAAAAGGTTAACAGATAGAGAAATAGTCGTATGATATTGCTAGGAAGAAAGGAAGAGAAAGCTTGTTTGTTCCACGTACCTGGCACCAAATAGGTAAGATACATAAAACCCACAGGGTTCATAATCACTGACTCTGAACCTGACTGGTACCATCAAATGTTAGACTGATCAGATTAGTATTTCTTCCTTTGGGGGAGGCTGGGTTGGGAAAATGACAGAGCCAACAAAAGTTCCTCATCCTAGTTACCAGTAACAAATGTGATGCATAAACTATGGAGTCACTCACTATACTCCTATTTTAATATCAGACTAATCTTACCATGTGACATCAGAATTTTCATTTGTTTGTAGTTTCTTCTTCTTTACCTTAACATACTTAAGTTTATATTTATTTATAAAAAACAAAATTCAAATAATTCTTTTAAGTTATTATCTTTCTTTCCCCTTCCATTCAATAATAAATTTCTTGGGAAAAAATGAGATCATCTTAGATTTGAAATGATTATTTGTTCTCTATTCATTCACTACTTGCTGCCTCCCAGCTAATCAACTGAAACAGTTCTTTCAAAGTTAACAATGACTGCTTATCATATTCAGCGAATTTTCTTCCTCTTTTCCCTCTATGTGGTATTTGATAACTCATTCCCTTCTTTTTTTAAAATATACAAATATTTATTAAAATTTTGCTAGTCTCTAAACTAGGTCCTGAAAATAAAAAGAGAATTCTCTGACATCAAGTGGTTTACAGTTTACTTATCAGAGAAGATATGTGCACAACAAAATGAAATAAAGCACTAATGAAGGAGTTATCACTTCTATCTGGTGGGGGTGGAGTTGGAGGTAGGAGAAGTGAAATCAAGAAAGACTTTACACTTGAGTTTTTGAAAGACAGTGTGTGTTGATTAGGTGGATGTGTGCAGACTCAGGCATCATTCAAGGAAGAGTAAACCTATGAGCATTAAACACCCAAGTGAGTTGAGGGTACTGAAAACAGGTCAGTTTGCATGGGACAGAAGACACAAGTTGACCATTAAGGCCAGAATGAAAAGCAATACAAAATCACAGAAGACTTTCCAAGGAGTCTGGACTATTATCAGCATTCAAAAAGTGCTGAAGGGATTCTCCTCCTTCTTTTTTCTTCTTTTTACTATGCTTATAATTTAGAAATAACACCCTAGCAGGAAGAAGGAGGCTTAACTGGAAGGCTCTAAAGCTGGAGGAAGGAGACATTGAGAACATTGACACATTGATGAACACTGAGATTAACTTCTGTTTTGCCGTCAGATATAATGTTGTAAAATAACATTAGCGTTATGTCACTGTGATTATTTCCTTGGTAGAAATTCCTGGAAGTAGAAATTGCAGTATCAGATTTGTTAACAATTACAAAGTCGCTTGATACATATTGACAAACTGCTTTCCAAATAACTGTCTCAGTTGATGTTTCCATTAGCACTGAGAATTGCATTAAATTTAAGAAAACTCTTCTAAGTGTACAGTCAAACATTTCCTCTATGATTAATTTGCATTTCCAGAATTACAAGTTAATACATTTACTGGAAATTTGTATTTTCTTGCTTTGGGAATTATCCATTCGTGTTCTTTGATAATTTTTTTCATTAGAATTTTTTTTTCTTGATTTATGTTAAGTATACTGATCTTTTCTAATACGTCATCCTTTGTTGCATATATTAATATACAAAGTATTATAATTATTTTATAGCTAAATATATAGATCTTTTCCTTTTCAAACACTTTTCTTTCATTGTCTGTGACACTATTTTATCATTTTCTATTTCTTAGTCCATTTTGCTATAGTATCTAGCTGATATGTCTCCCTCCTTCAAGTAGATACTTGTCAGGGCCTTTCACGTTCTTATGTTAATGTTGTTACGCTCAGAGATCTACCCTATTTCAAATCTTTCACTGGTTTTAAATACTTACCCTCTTAATCTAATTTTTTTTTTTTCTGAGCAAGGTACATAGTATTAAATTCAAAAATACAAAGTAATTATAAGTGAAAAAAACCTATTTTTCTCATTGACCCACATTCATCCAATTTATCTCCTAGGAGGCAACCACGATTATAGTCTCTTGCAGAACCTTCTAAGAATAGGCTGTGTGTGTTGTCATCATATGGACTACAGCCCACCAGGCTCCTCTCTCCATGGGATTCTCCAGGCAAGAATACTGGAATGGGTTTCCATTTCCTCCTGCAGGGAATCTTCCTGAGCCAGGGATCAAACCTGTGTCTCCTGCATCTCCTGCAGGCAGATATTTTACTGCTGAGCACCAGGAAAGCCTATAATTATAATATATATAATTACATTATATATATATATATATATATAATACATATAATTCCCCCCCACATACTAGTATGCTGTGTACCCTGTTCTATACATTACTTTTTGCACTTAATAGATTTTGGAGATCTTTTACCAGTACACATGAAACACATTGAATTTCATTAATTAAATATATATTTTTTAAACCAGTCTTCTAATGCTAAACATTTAGTCTGCTTCAAGTATACTACAGTCTTTTATAAACATCATTCTGTACTTACAGAATAAGTACTTAGGACTGGAATTGCTAAGAATATTGCTGTTCAGTCGCTCAGTTGTGTCCAACTCTTCGGGACCACACAGACTGCAGCACGCCAGACTTCCTGCTTTCACTGTCTCCCTGAGTTTGCTCAAATCCATGTCCATTGTATCAATGATGCCATCCAACCATCTCA